CCATATCGTGATATGATATCGCATGGCCAAACGTCTACTAAATAAATAAAATGAGTAAAATTAGCAGAAGGTCGGACGAATGACTATTCTCTCTACAAAAATTTCCAATTGTTTTTCTTGTAAATACTTTCTCCACTTTCACGTGACACTGACCCATGTTCTAAGCCAGCTGCTCCCCAATAACTATATTTCCGAAAATGGTTCTTAATCTTTCACTATAAGTTCAAAATAATCATTTAATTAAAGTAGCTTTTTCCCTTTGGACGCATTTGATATGAGAAATAAGAAATACTTTAAACTATTTTGGAATTTTAGCATTTTTTTTTTATAGCACATTGAGAATGAAATAACTAATTTCAGAGTAAATAATTGTTTAAGTTTGAAAAAAAGAAGAAAAATGAGCACAATTTATTGCTTATGTAATCGTTAGAGACTATTTTGACCCTACGGCCAAAATTAATGGACCATATTTGTCATTTTCTTTCTTCTTCACCCTACCCCTCGTTTCCCACTTCACTCTTCTCCATAGTTCCTCACTGTCTCCGAAAATCCAGTCCATTTTTCAGACCTCCTTTCACGCACAAAATGACAACAACAAACACTAAACTTGGCCACTAGTCAACTAAACCAAATCACTCGACATTTTTAGTTGCATAACTTGCAATGTCTCCATTGATGCTTCTGCTCTGTTTTCTTCTTCAACTAATCTACAGTTTCTACTTTTGTTCTTCTTCTTCTGCTGCTGCTGCTACCTCTACCCCTTCTGCTCCATTCAACTCTTTGCTTCCTTCCGACGCTGTTTCGTTATTGTCATTCAAGTCAAAAGCTGACCTTGACAACAAGCTTCATTACACACTTAACGAGCGTTTTGATTACTGTCAATGGCAAGGAGTGAAATGTGTACAGGGTCGTGTTGTGCGTTTAGTTCTTCAAGGGTTTAGTCTCCGGGGTACTTTTCCGGCGAATAGTTTAACTCATCTTGACCAACTCCGAATACTCAATCTTAGGAATAACTCACTTTCCGGTCCTATTCCTGATCTTTCGGGTCTTCCTAACCTGAAAACTCTGTTTCTTGATCATAATTTTTTCTCCGGAACTTTCCCCTTTTCTGTTCTTTCTATTCACCGTCTTGTTATTCTTGATCTTTCTCGTAACAATCTCACTGGTTCACTCCCTGTTAGGCTTACTGTTCTTGACCGGTTGAACTATCTCCGGCTTGATTCCAACTGGTTTAACGGTTCGATTCCGCCGTTGAACCAGACCCAACTCCAAATTTTCAATGTGTCTAATAATAACCTCACTGGTCCAGTACCTGTTACTCCAACTCTGAAGAAATTTAACATACGCTCGTTCTTACGGAACCCTAGTCTTTGTGGTGAGGTTGTTGATAAGCCGTGCCGTTCGGCACCGTTCTTTGATTCGCCTTCCTCTGCTGCCTCTCCGCCCACACCGTTATACCAAAACGCACAGTCGCAGGGTATTCTTATTAGTCCTCCACCTCAGCACAAACACAAAAAAGTTGGTGTCGTTTTGGGTTTTGTAGTTGGAACATTGATTTTGATTGCAGCTGTTCTCTGTCTTTTTGCTTTTGTGAAAAAGAGAAGAGAAGAAACTGAAACTGAATCAAAAGCAACAAAATGTACCATTGAGACCATCACTAATAGTGCGGCGAACGCAACGGTTTCTGAGCCAGATGATAGTAGCCAAGAGATTAAATTAGAAAAAGAAATGAAAGTGCTTCAAGCCCCCAAACAACAGATGAAGAGTGGAAATCTGATATTTTGTTCAGGGGAAACAGAGTTGTATTCTTTAGAACAACTAATGAGAGCATCAGCAGAGTTGCTTGGAAGAGGCACAATTGGAACAACGTATAAAGCTCTGATGGCTAGTCAGTTAATCGTTTCAGTAAAGCGATTGGATGCTGGTAAAACTTCGATTACGAGTGCAGAAGCGTTTGAGCAACACATGGAGTCAGTTGGGATGTTGAGGCACCCAAATTTGGTTGCAGTCAGAGCATACTTTCAGGCTAAACAAGAAAGGCTTGTTATCTATGATTATCAGCCTAATGGCAGTCTCTTCAATCTAATTCATGGTAAAGTTTCTAACTTTTTAATATATCATTACTAGTTCTACAAATTATTCATCTGAAATGGATCAATGTTTATTTTTCATTTTTGGTAATTCTGCTAATTGGTCAATGTGAAGTCAATTTGGTGGACCTGTGATGGAGAAAAAAGTGGAAGAGTGAGTTGTCTGTGGCTACTGGCTAATCACTATCTAGCTTCTTTTTTTTTTCTTTACAGAAATTAGTTGTAGTGTTTTGGATCTTTCAGTGGTTGCTATGGTTGTAGTAGCAGGGGACTTTTTTAGCTTTTAGTGTGGATGCCTAACATGGCTCCCACTGAGTTCACTACCGACAATTGCAAAGTTTGTGTTTACAGGGCAGCCAAATAGTAATGTGTTTTAGTTTCAGGCTGTCACTGACTGACCGGTATGGGTTGATAGCATTATATTCCTCAATTTTTTTTATCATGCATTGAGGCAAATGGTCCTTGGCTCTTGCGTCTGTCTTTTTGGTATTTATGAGTATGTTTGCTTCTTCTTTAAGTTGAATAGGATGTTGACAGTAACTTTTTGGTGTTTTCCTTTTACTTGTCCAAATGTTCTCTGTTTCTTAAATATTAAATTTACTCAAGTGAACGTTAACGTTGTTAGATAGAAGGATTAAGGGAAAGAACTAGAACATCCTTGGGAATTCTTAATGTAGTGACAGAAATGGTATGAATTTGCTTAATTTACATTATTTTGAATCCTAGGTATTGCATTTTTTGTATCCCCTTGTGATACGCTATCAAGAAATTGGAATTTCACTTTCATAGATTACTCTGCTCAAGAAGATTGATTCCTCTATATAATTCTGTGTGTTTAAGTGGTTGGTCTTTTCACCTAAATCCTGATAATCTGTTGTTCGTTTACTTATATATTGTGTTCAATTTTCTATTGTTCGTGGCAGGTTCAAGATCAACAAGGGCAAGGCCTCTTCACTGGACATCGTGTCTAAAAATAGCAGAAGATGTGGCTCAGGGCCTTGCTTACATCCATCAAGCGTCAAAGCTCACTCATGGCAACTTGAAATCCTCCAACGTCCTTCTAGGGTCTGATTTTGAGGCCTGTCTAACAGACTACTCCATCATCGCGCTTGCAGATATTTCTTTGGAGGATGATCCTGATTCAGCATGCTATAAAGCACCAGAAGTGCGCAAATCAGCACGAAGAGCCACGCCTGGGTCTGACGTATATGCCTATGGCATTCTGTTATTAGAGCTTTTAACGGGCAAACCTCCATCTCAGCATCCACATCTCTCTCCCCCTGATGTACCGGATTGGGTTAGAGCTATGAGGGAGGATGATAATGAGGAGGATAGATGGCTTGCAATGCTAATTGACCTTGCTAGTATATGTAGCTTGACATCACCAGAACAGAGACCAACAATGAGGCAAATCTTGAAAATGATACAAGATATAAAGGATAGCGCAATGGTGGAGAATAACAAAAGAGATGCACATAATGGATACTCATAGCTTCTTCTGAATTGCAGTTACACCATTAATCAGCGAGGGTACATGGTCAATTGTAAGTAAGTGTCATCTCCCCCTTGGCAAAGTGCCATTGATCGACAACATATCTGTAATTGAGTTTTTTCCAGATAGACCAAATGACTTATCAACTATAATGGTGCTTGTACCTTCACTACTCAGCAGTAAACACCTAAAACTGACAGGTTAAGGTCTATCTGCTAGAACATGGTCAACTTAGTCACTGAAGATTATGACACATTTTGTTCCCCTCGTCGAAATCCCTCTTTTTTGGTCACACAAACATATGGTGCCTATATTTTTAGGGCATATTGTAGTAGGTGGTTTTGGTTGATTCTTTTTCTAAAGAACTTCAAAATGTATTCGCTTTACCTTAATGGCAGAAGAATATTGTATAATCTTGAATGGTAAAGCTAACCCAAATTCTGAACTTTCCCTTCTCTGCATGGTTGGTTAGTATCAACTTAGCAGGAGAAGAGTTGTTTAATGACTACACAACTCCCAAGGAAATAAGAATTGCCACAGGCTCATAGTCTCAAACAAACAGATACGAGTAATTGATACAGAATGGCTCACGGATTCAATAATTGCAACTTTTTCCATCACACGTTCACATCCAGCGAAGGTGCAAACAAAAGAAACAATGCTCCTTGACAAAAAATATTTCTTCTACTCTATTTTACTATATGATAGTGATTGATGAGAAATCGAACTGTTCTTTCTTGGACTATTTTCTCAAATGTTATTTAAAAGTTATCAATCATTCTTCATATAAGAAAGAGAAATATGAATCAATCCGGAAATTACACAAAAAGTTAAAATGAACTAGCATTACTAAACTTTATCATAGAGGGAGGAAATATATTATAATAGTGAACTAGATATCACATCAAACAATTTAATGTGTCCTTGGTGCAGGCAAAGACAAAAATTCCCAAAGGAATCAAAACGTACCAAAGACTTGCCAGTGAAAAATGTTCCCTTTTGGTAATTGCTACATTGGCATTTTCAGACGAACAAAAAAAAGAAGAAGACAGAAAGAACAGAGCTAATATTGGATCCAAAACACACAGTATATTCCCTGGAGCAAGATTTTTGGAAGTTTTGCAAAAGAAAATAACTTTCAACACATTTAGATAACAATTTGCATCTGTGCTTGTTCTACAGATATAGTCTATCAGAGATAAAAATCCTGTAGTTATAAATATTTACTTCTCCACTTAAACAAATACCCCAATCAGAATCACTAGCTGGCAGATTCCTTGTCCTCTATTGACAGCAAACATAGACGTACATTATAGAGCCACCACAACATTAGACAAACATTCTTTAAACAAGAGGTGGATACTGCTTAGACTGCAGGCGCACCCTCTTTCGGTACTCCAGAACATCCTGCAAGAACTCAGCAAATGAATGTGCGTCAAACTCCTATTCAGAACTTATACATCTTTCAACAGTTACAAGCATGACCAAGAAAAGACGCAATATGGACCTCTAAACTACTATTAACATTATCACCACAATGTCTGTCCCACTAATGAGATAACTACGAATCTTTCTGCCATGTATTATTAGAATCTGAAATAATTCGAGAAAGAGAAATCGGAAGGTTCTGGAGCTCCCAAATGATGACGTACCAATCACTAATGCCTTTAACCTACAGCAAAAGCCGCCAGTATCTTTCTAATCTCCATGTGCAGGAACATTATTGTGACATAAAGCTAAAGCATACGATAATAGTACAAGAGATATGACAATTAGCACTTCCTTCATCCCATCTCACGTGGTTATTAAGGTAAAAGTCAAAATCTTCCTATCCTAGTAAAAGGGGGCCTTATAATTCATACAATTCAATAAAAGGGAACATAAGCAACTAAAAGAACTTCCCAATAAAATTTGACTTGAATGCTTCCATCCCATTTTATGCGACACAAAAGTTAATTGAAATACAAATATATCAGAAAAAGTGAAAAATAATACATTAAACAGCTGGATTGGCAGAAAAAATATTTCATCAAACCTAATTTTGACTAGTTAAATGCATTTAACTCCTTGCGATTGGAGATAATCGTATTAATAGAATGGTGCCCAAATTTTGAGACATCCCAAGATAGAATATTGTTTTATTAATTGAGACAGCAAGGGTAAAGAAAAGTATGTTCGATGGTTCATCTTAACATATTATAATGAAAAAAAAGTCTCTCACAGAAAAATAGACACAATTCAAGGATAACATCAAGAGCAGGAAATGAGTTTGTAAAAATGGAGAATTAACATTTTTTGAATCAAAATTACCTGAATAAACATATGATACCCTTCAGTTTGGGCAGGATCAGCAGGGTTTGGCTGATCTAACAAGTCCTGGATACCAACCAGTATCTGTTTCACGGTGATGGCTGGTCTCCACCCCTACACAAGAAAAAGAAAATAATAAGCCATCATACATTGAGCACAGTCAGTAAGCAGACGAATACAAAGAAAGCATATAGCCCACATACACTATCTTCATTGAGGATCGACAAGCAAACTGTTCCAGATGGATAGACATTGGGATGGAAAAAGCCTGGTGGGAATTTACACTTTGGCGGTTTACTCGGATAATCTTCACTGAAGTGAATTGTGAGTGGATAACAACCACCTTCCCAATCAGTCTGCAAGCATTTAATTGTCGTTAGGAGAAACAATAACAGAAAGACAAAGACGAGTTCCCCTACATCAGACAAGCATAGTACTTTCATTAAAATAGGATAATGCTACAAGATTAGCAAGCATTATATGCTCTGATATGAGGGAGGCAGGGAAGAAACCAGAAGCATAAGAGAAGCACACTCTGCAGCTTGCACGGTACATAAATCAATTGATCCATCTTAACATACATATACTCTGCATGTTTACACTTGAAGTTTGACACTAATGCATCTACTAGGCATACACTATGTACTTCTATATGCAGAAAAACTTTTTACCACGTAGGAGTAAATAACAGAAAGCATACAATTTCTAATATGATGCCAACAACTCATAAAACTTAAGGCTTGCTACTGAACTGTGCTACTTCATATGACTATACGAGGTTCGTAGTGTTAAAATTTGAATTATCCAACTTTTCCTTAGGGGAAAGGAACGGTCCAGGGTTACTTCCATTACCCCTGGATATATGAGGAAAGAAAAAGAAATCCCATTAAAGCTTTTCCATCTTCTATTTCTTTTTCTTCCCTCTCTTGAGGCTCTGAACTTTTCTGAAGGAAGTAGCGGTGATTTCTAGAAACCTTCCCACTCATGTTCAAAAGGCGATTCACTAGAACAGGTTGAGTTTTCTATTTAGATATGCCTTCCGTTATATAAACTATTAAAGGAATATATAATTATTACCACATGCTGATAAAGTCATAGATATGGAGTTTGCTACCATTCTCGAAAAAAGAACTCAGAAATATGAAGTTCATGCCAAGAGTTTCAAATAGGGGGTGCAAAATCATATAGCAATAGAGGCAGACCCACATGCACCCGGTAACTTTTAAAAAAAAATCGTATATATATATAGATAGATAGTTGATAAAACGATAATATATTTGATTGTGCACCATAGTAACCAAAAGTCTTTTTGGTGCACTGGTTGAAGTCACCATCTCGAACCACGACTGCGCGAGTTCGATTCCCACGAAAGGTAACGTTTTTTTTACTTTAAAATCAACTTTTTCTTTAGAGTTAACCTTTTTTAAAATTGCTTTTATTAAAACTCATTTTTGCGACCTAAACTGGGCCCGCCCCACCCCCCTTTCTTAACTCCCTTTTTTTGTCATCTCATTCCTTTCTTAATTGAAATTAAAAACAAATAAAA